TGAAAATGCCACATGAATTTATTTTTACAGTGAGAGACTGCAGGTCAATCCTTCCAAAAAGAATGTAGCAATAGAAATAGGGAAAGTCTCCATGGAACTGTATTAAAACACATTTAAAATAAAATATATTCTAACTGCAGCAGAAGCCATCTATATACATTCCATTTGCAGCCGTTCAGGTACACCAAGAAAGTGTCAGGAGATAAGGATGCTTGAAAATTTGGGGAAGTCCAAATCTTTGTTCCCAATTGAGTTCAAATGCAGCTTTGACCATAGCTTGTTCTAGACATTTTATATCTTTCCTAAGTTATTATTCATTTTATTTTATACTGCTGAACCAATCAGGATTCATGATGGTTTATAGACATCCAATAAAACAGACAATCAATTAAAATGTCCATGAGAAACATCATTAAAATGAAATTGTAACCAGTGTAGAATAGCAATAACTGGATGGCAATGAAACTTAATGGTTAATTTAAAATTTAAAATGGAAAAAATTAACTAGTCACCAAATGTAGTATAGAAGAACATAAGGTTGATTTGGAGAAATAATCTGGATATTTTATAAGTGAGTAATTCTGAAATAATAGCACATAGTCCTTGCACTGCACTGTATTTGACTTGTTTGGTTAGGGAAAAACTGACATCATATAACTAAAATATTATTATGTACTTTACTTAAAGCAAGATTGCATCTAGTGCGTGAATACTTTATGTGGCCCTGTGCTTGTCTGTAACATAACTAAATAGGCATTCAGTTCAAAATAGCTACTTTTGATTTATATATTAAAAAACACTTTCTTGAACAGTTTTAGAACAGTCTCAGTAGAACCCTAGATAGGGAATTTTTAAAAATCCAAGAAAAATACAATGGTAACAGATATCCCGTGATAAGAAAACCACATAGATGAGTCACCAAGAGTTGAGCTTGACTTAAAGGGGATTTTACCTTATAAGGCTGTCAGTCTCAACATTCAGATAATAGCAACTGGGTGGTAAAAATGTACTTTGCTCAAGGCAATCTAGTGGCCAAAGAATCTTTCAACCAGAAACTGTATGATTCACACCGTTCCGTTCCCATCTTTCAGCTGCACAGCAGGAAGATTGCATCAATTTGTGCCCAGTTAATCTTGCACATCACTATGGCTCTGGTCGGAGTAAAGACCGTGGCATTTGAGAGCATCTCCTGCATTGGGCTAATTGGCAACATGGCTTCTGGGGTTTGAGAGCTGTATAAAAGTATGGCCCCTTTTTCTAAGAAAAGTAGTACAAAGGCAAAGCAAACATTAATGAACCAGACCATTACTAGAATCCATCTGACTTTGTCAAAGGCTTGAGAATTAATTGCTCAAGCTGTGCAATTTCACCGCTAGAGCCAAGAAATACACCAGATCCAAGGTAGCAGTATTATATGAGTCCTGATCAAAGTCCCCAGCTTGGCTCTTCTCTAATTATTGTCTAAGCTACAAAACTGAAGGAAACATATTGTCCTTTCAAAACCAAAGCCCAAATCTAGGATTTGTTAAACGGCATTTTTTTTCCTGTGTGCCTTTTCTTCCTTGAAACAGAGACAGCAGAAGCCTCCACCCATTAAGATCCAGGATCTTCCAAGATCAATCCCTTTCTGTTAGCTCAGTCCAGCCTCTGTCTTTGAAATCTTGCATTGTTTGGCAAATTCAAGACATGCCATGCACAAAACTGGATCAGGTAAAGCTTTTTCTGATATGGTGATGAATTGTTGGCTAAGATTTGTTTGTTTGATATTCTGCAACTCAGCTATTGGGAGGCAAACCAACTACATCTGAAAAAAGGGGTTAGTATCAGGGATTTCCATGGGTCAATAATATGAATATTAATTTTGGTATTTGAGAATGAGAATGCTCAGGGACATGTTTAGGATGTGAGAATCCCCATTCCTGCCTAAGTGGCTGTCATAGCTCCTTCAGAAATATTTCTTTTCTCCAGCAACTGTTTACTTAATATCACTCATACCATGGATGGTAATAACAAAGGGACAAGCACTGTTTCAGCATCCTTCCTCATTCTTGCAATTGATTTCCTTAAATCTTGCTGTTAATAGAAAAACAGGATCTGGGTACATAGGGGCAAATCTCCAAATCAAGTTGGTGCTGGGAATCTTGGCCTTAAAGGCAGAATAGGGAGCTCTTGCTCACTCAGCCCCAGATCCCATTCCTAACAACCAAATTTTGCTGAAAAAGCGGCTTTGCCATTTAATTCTTACCAGTATTTTTATTGAAACATTTAAATAGTTTTAAAGATAATACAAAATATGTTTAAAAGAAAAAAAAGAAATAGACAAAAGAAAAATAGAAGGGAAAAATAGAGGTGGAGAAAGACTAAAAAAAAAAGGAAAGGTATTTGAAGAAGTGACGTTTGATTTTCTTTCCAACAGTTACAAACATAATGTATTCCTCCCACTTTGAAATTAAATTACAGTACATAGATCATTTCTTCCCATACCCAACCATTTTCAATTGGCAAATCCAAAAGTCATTAACTCATTTCTATCCATTTTCAACAAAAAGTCCAGAAAGGGTTTCCAGTATTTTTTGTAAAACTACTTATTATCTATCCCTGAACAAACAGCCGATTTTCTTTTTCTTTTATATAATATTCTAGCTTTCTTAATCCTTAACTTGACATTAAGATGTTATTGTAGGACCTGATAACCATTCCTCCCATTCTAATTTTTCAAAGGTTTCAAAGTGATCTTCTTCCTGTTTTCACCAAGTGAAAACCTTTAGTCTCAAACATGACTTTTTATCTTGTAAGTCCAGTAATAGTCCGTTATCTACATTTTTTGGGCTCTTGACTTAATATTTGTATTTTATCCCTGTAATTTCTGTTTTGTTTTCCAAAACTGCCACCTTCACTTCACCTTTCCACTCAGTAATCCTGCAGATTATTCAATTTTATTTTTCATCTCTTCTTTCATAGTCTCTTTTAAATGTTGCATTCACATAAGCAGTTACTGATGCTGTTATTGTAGCTGTTAAAGTTCTTTCCCAATTCCTCAAAGATTCTTTTGAATATCTCAAGTGTAATCCTTTTTCTGTCATTTCTATAAGTTTTACTCCTTTTCTAGTAATAGCCATTTCAATAGACAAAGAGGACCCTTGCTTTCTCTGGATGATTAAGTCTTTAGTTCCATTCAACATTCTGTAGTTCTACACTCAGATGGCCTTTAGCAACTTTCCTTTATCTTTTGTTTTGCAGAGCTAACCAATCATTTCCAATTAATCTATACAAAACTCTCCCATGAAAATATAGATTAATTACTTAATTGTTTCAAAAATTCTTTAAAGTCAATAATTTTAAATTCATCCATCCCCTTAGTTCATTTTAAACTTTCTTTATTTAAACCTTTGGCAACTTTTTTGCCCTTAATTATTTTTAAATCCTTTAAATTGGTTCATTCTTAATCTGGGGTGAAGGATCACTCACTGGGTGGCTTGATTGCACTGCTCATCTGAATATCTCTTTAACTTTAAGATAATTGTCTTCCAAATTTATTTAAGAAAGTGGGAAGGGGGGGGGTTGTTTGTGAAGGCAATGTCTTTATGCAGGCTGTGAGCTTGTGGCTGTGAGCTTGCTATCTCTTCCATGGCTACTGCTGTTGCTCAGACTCATAGAACGCCTACAAAATCTCTTTAGAACTTGTGGGTCTTCTTATGAGGAACATATCTTTGGAGCAAAGTGGGCAATCTTCTGGACTTTCCTTGTCCAGAGAAGCACCATTGGCCTTCTTTGCCATATTGTCTCTGCTGTTTGCAGAGGCAGAGTCCATCATTTCCCCCCCTACCCGGAAAGCTGTTTTGCCATTTCATTGTATAGAGAATCTCTTTCTTCAGCTCACAGCCACCAAAAAACAGAGAAATTGGCCTCTGATTAACCTACAGCATTGCACAATACCAAAAAATGAATAAACTTTAGTTGTGGAGCTCATATTTTAGACAGTGGAGGATGAATATATGACTCTGTTATATCATTTTTGTTGTTCTTACTACTACTACTACTATTACTACTACTAATAATAATAATTTGTACATTCTTCTCCCTCTTAGGCAGCCTAGGATATTATTTTGCTTTTCAACATGTCAGTAGAGATGTACCTGCATCTCAGAACATTTTGCACAATAGGAGACCCAAACAACTCTGTTCTAATCACAAACACAAAAGAGCAGATTGTTAATGCTTACAGGTGGCTGGCTGTAGGACCCTGGCAAAACCCATCAGAAAAGCACAGAAGGGCTATGGCTCTAAATAATATGTCTCACTCTTTGGAAGATTCTTGATTTAGTTTTGAGCAAGTCAAAGCATTACTGTACAGAGTTTCAGTGAAAACTTTTGTATTGCAGGGAAGCTATACCTCTCCATTTGGGGGGTTCTTAATCACCTTTTTTACTCTTTCAAGTGTGGAGTTTATTTGAGATTAATCTTCTGCTTTGTATATCATTCAAAGGCACAGAAGCCCAATTACATGAATAGCAGCAACCCTCTTCATCTCACTACTTTTAGAGCTCACAGATGTTCAATGGATATTCACAAACTTCAGTGTATATATACACTGAATCCTATAAGGAATGCAGCTTTAGAATAAAAAGTTTGAGCCAGACTGAGCCTCCCTGTGAATATTATATCTCTACAATTAGAGGCCTGCAGCTCCCTTTCAGGCCACTTCCATGCTAGCTGGAAGATGTAAGATGTACTGTATCCTGAGGAGATTGCAAAGGCCTTGACAGCTGGGTTAATGCATTATTTATTTGATGTATGAATGGTGTCAGTGAATATTGGAACACAATTTAGTAGCATCGGACAAACACAATAACTGGAAAAGAGTAATGAAACTGGTTTCAGAAAAATGAAAAGTAGGACAAACAGCACAATAGGAATAGTGCAGAGAGCCAGACATGACAATACAGGGGAAAATAAGCCCCAGGTTAGACTGGTTCTTGGGCCTGTGATGGGAATAGCCATCATTTCTTATTTGTATGGTTTATTTGCCTATTAACAAGAGTGTTGCTAGTTGCACAGTAATCTGTATTACAAAAAGAATGTATCCTTCATCTGCAGAAAATCCTGGGATGTGTATCACTGGAACCAGATCATGGCTCTTGTCTTGTTATTGTATTCTGATGTGCACATGTAATGCTCTCATATTGGACAGGTGGTATTCCCTGTGTATATTGGACAGACCCATGAATATTGTACTATATATTGCACATGGACTGGATAATGTGGAGGTCATTATCAACATGGAGCACGTGGTACTAAGTGGTTGGAAGTGACAATCCCATGAAGACTGGGAGGATAGATGTTATGCTATCTTTAACGTGGTATTCTCTTGCTGTTTTCTTTGCTTGTGTGTGTGTGTGTGTGTGTGTGTGTATGCATAGGATCCCCAGCTATGTGACCCAAACATTACACTGGTGCTAATGGCTATATGAATCAATCAAACACAAAAAATTGAGGCAATGAATAGCATGCACAATATCCATTCTCTAGATATATGATGTAGGCAGATGGTCTAGAAAAAACAGCTATGCTTGGCAAAGCTGAGAGAAGTAGAAGAATGTAAAGAGCAGGGATAACACAGATGGATGAGATCAAGGAGATTATAGAATGTAATTGCTGCTGATTGTTACTAGGGATGGAAAGCATTTCTCCATACAAATGAAACTGTTTGGCTCTTATCTAACTAGCAAACTATCATTGCTAATAGAATCACAGAAATTAACAACTCTGTTAATTTTGTACAGATGCTAATATATCTGCATATGTATTGGAAAAGAGTGGACAGCATAAAAAAAATAAAACAAATTAAAAAAATAAGATTCTTTTTTCTCTCTCTCTCTTCCCCCCCTGCACACCAGCAATCTCAATCAAATTCTGAAAATTACATCAAAGTACCTCTGAAAAGCTTGGCTGGCTGACACAGAATATCACCACCTGACCAGGATATAAATAAGCTGCCTTCTCCTTTAGAAAGATCAAAATACTGCAGGCAACGGTATTCCTTGTGACACTCTATTGAAGTGAAAGTTTGAAGAAGCAGGATAGAAAGAATATTGACACTTTTGAATTTTAGTGTTGGAGAAGACTCCTGGGAATAGTATAGACAGCCAAGGAAACAAACAAGGGGATCATTGAACAAATCAACTTAGAGTTCTCACTCAGTGTACAAATGACCAGGCTCCAATTATCCAACTTCAAACACGTGAGAAGACCTGTCTCTATGGAGAAGATTTTTAACGCTGGCAAAGATGGAAGGAAAGGGAAGAAGACAAGCAGTAACAAGGTGGATGGACCCAATTACAGTGGCAATGGAGAAAATCTCTCAGTCTGGTTGCTAAGAGTCAACATTGAGCCACGGTGGCACAGTGGTTAGAATGCAGTATTGCAGGTTAAATCTATCCACAGCCAGGAGTTCGATCCTGATTGGCTCAAGGTTGACTCAGCCTTCCATCCTTCTGAAGTCTGTAAAACGAGGACCCAGATTGTTGGGGGCAATATGCTGACTCTGTAAACCACTTAGAGAGGGCTGTAAAGCAGTGTGAAGTGATATATGTAAGTCTAAGTGCTATTGCTACTGATTTGATAGAACATTATCAACCGATCAATGCTTATTTAGAGATTTACTATAAAGAAAAGAAAATATTGCTTGTATTGAGCAAATAGCAAAAGTACAATGATAAAGTACTCCTTTGGAGGAGCTCTTTACAATGGATGATGCTTCTTCATCTTGGCTCCATCCCTTCATTAAGTAACAATAGTTTACAAAAATGAACACATACATTAGCTGTTTTGTTAATACCAAAAGCAATATTGCCTGAAGAAGATACATTAATCTGGCTACACTGTTTATTCCTACTGCCTGACATTTAAATTATATGAGCAATTTGTTCTTTTTAAACCAAATGTTTTGTCCTTACCTTCTTCACCTGTAGTTAGTTCAAATTTCCTGGAATTATCTGTAGTTTGAACAGATCTCAAAAGTGATGGACAGATAATTTCTCCATTAGGACCGGTTAGAAGGATATTGAGTGAAGTGCTTTTATGGCTTTCTTGAAAATAAGAAGAAAGGGGTTGAGAGAAAGAGGAATAATATTTTATCAACCGAAATAAATTCTCTGAACTAAGAGAAAACCTCACATTTAACCAGTATTAGAAATGGCAATTTTTAAAATTCCAAATATTTCTCTATAACTTACTGTTTCTTCTAAACAGACCCTTACAAGCACAATTGCTAGCAAGGCAGTTAAATGAGTTGCACCCAATTTTACCTTTTTTTGCCATGTTTTTTTGCCACAGTTCACTGCAGATGTTAAATGAATCATGCAGTTATTAAGTGAATCCAGCTTCCCCCGTTGACTTTGTTTGTCTGAAGCTCCCTGGGAAGGTTGCAAATGACGATCACATGACCCCAGCATATCATAAATACATGCCAGTGGACAAGCACCCGAATTTTGATCATGTGACTGTGTGGATCCTGTGATGGACATGTGTGCGAGGACTGGTTATAAGTCATTTTTTTCAGTGCTGTTGTAACTTCAAACGGTCACTACACGAATGATTATAAGTTGAGGACTACCCGTATCTTAGTGATTATATTCATGACTATCTACAGTCTTCATATCTGTAAATTTCTGAGTTTGACATATAATTTAAGAAAACTCAGCTGTTTATAATCTTTAGAAAATGGAACCATTGAAGAAAAACTGAGCAATTCTAATTAATGGCCATTTAAGCTCATGCTATTGTTAACTAAAATTTATCTGACCTATTTGTTTTGTGTTGTCAGTTCCAGTGGACACTTCTCTCTTTCTTTTCTTTCCATCACTCAGAGCAAACTTGTCTGGATTAATCAGGGGTAGATAGAAAGTATCTTGGGAAGCCTTTAGGAGCCCGTCCTTGATAGTTTGCTTCGGCTTGTTTCTATGTTTGGTGTCTAAAACAAGATCATTTGGCAAAAGGACCGACTGCTTATCATAGACATCGGTCTCAGATTTGACTTCTTTAGAACAAGTCCCTGCAAAATAAGAGAACAGATCATAGCAGTTGTTGATCTACAATCAAAATATGAATATAACCAAATTAAAAATAACACATGCGTGTTATGTGGCATACGTGTTGTATGTATAACCACATATAATGCAGTTATCTATATGTCTGCTCAGAAATAAAACCCACTGAAGTCAGGTAAAAATATATATAACTATGGCCTTAATATTTACATTGCAGAAAGTATGGAAACTTTAGAGTTACATAATGCTGACAGTGAAAAATGCAATGCACTTTGTAATAGGTACCACTAGGTTTTAGCTCATTTCTACAATTGTTTGGCATTATTGTAGTAATACATAAGCTAAGCTGAAAGGAGGTCTAAAAGTAAACTTGTAGTAAAATGGCAGACGCCATCCTAAATAACTGTGAAATTGATATTTGTCCTCAAAGAAATGTGCAAATCCCCAAACAAAAGAATAAAACTAGTGTAACAGTACACTATACATATCTCTGAGCTAGCAAGGTTAATTTAGATAAGAGAACTTGGCTTGAAGACTGTGGAGTAAAGCTGGACTTTAGCTGTGTTTGAAAATATGCTGGCCCAAACAGATATGAGTTTACATATATTGTGTGTCTGTAAAATTAAGAGAAAGGGAATGTAATAAATCTGGACAAAAGTAAACTGATATTTTGGAACTGAGTTGATAAGTGCAAGCGGGGAAGTAAAGATTCAGGTTTAACTATGAATGAAGGATTGAAACTGTATATCAGAAGCTATGAACGGGAGATTATACATAGGTTATTGTAGATACGCACTTTCCTATATACCTTTGATGTATGAAAACAGGAATTCATGTGTTGTGGTAGTTCCATTTTATAATCCATTGAATTATGATAATGAAAAAATCTGGGATAATTTTGGAGACTGTACAAGATTCTGAGTAAATGTACAGTAATCTAATGGAAGAAATGGTTACGTCATGAATATCTATGCTCATGAGACCATTTTGATGGCTAAAAGTGAGGGAAATTTTAAAAACTCTCTCGCTAAAGAGCCTGGTCTGCTGCTCAATAGTGAAGAAAAAACAAGCTAGTTAAGATTATGTCAATAGGCAATGCCAATCCAGAAAAACAAGGATATTCTTGGAAAGAGAGATAAAGATGGTCAGATTGTTTTCTTTAAACTGCGTGAAAGAGAGAGCAAGTAGTGATGAAGATCCACAAAATAAAAATAGAGAGACCCACAAGACAAAGCTAGAGAAAGAAGATGTGTTTGGAGCTTGGCAAGTGTTGTGCTGGTGGGAGCAGCACCCTTTGAAGTTTGCTGGCTGCCTTTGATGTGTACATCATGTTTCAACCGAGAAGGGAACAACAGCCACCCAAACCAAGCCTATCCAGAGCAAGGTATTTTAAGCAGCCATCAAGTTTATCAAACCCATCCTGGAAGTTTGGTTTTGCTGACTCCCTAACCCACAATGAGCAAGTCCCCTTCATTCCAAGGGTGTGGCTGTACCTCTTGAATGTTTCGCTTTAGTTGGAGACTCTGACTGAACCAGCAGTGGAAGGATCACAAGTTCCTTTGAAAGCTCACTGGGTTTTATTTTTTCCCTTTGAACGCTGGGTGAGCTTTCAGCTATTTGAGGTAACTTGAAAAATTCTGGCACCTGGAGAAAAACAGAGCTTCAAGGTACTTTTTAATACAGCAAATGCCACCGATCTTTGACAGTTTTTGCACAACAAATTGTTCCAAATGACAGAAAATACATCAAAATTATATGCCTAAAAATGCATACTTGCCCTGCTATGGACAGATTTTATAAAAGGGGGGGGGATATGTATGTCATTTTTTCCCAACTTGATCCCTCTTGATGCTGGGCATTGCTCCATAGTACAACTAGCGTGGCCTGGGGATTAGAGAAATTGAAGTCCAATTCCCTTGGAGGGTACCCAGTGGGGAAGGCTGTGTTAAGCTTTTTGCCATGCTATTTAAGAGAATTTCTGATATATATACAACATGAAAAAAAAAGTATTTGGGAAGCAGTGCAATAAACCATTAAACAGGCTTAATTCCCTTTGATTTTAATGAGACACACAGCCTGTTCACTGGAGTTCCCTCCAATTAAAATTGAATTGCAGCCTCAGGGACACTGAATTACATCATATTATACTCCAGAGTACAGTTTCCCCTTATTGGGATGTACTTTGGGAATGATTAATTATTGGTCGCACTATTGCATTTCAGTCGACTTGTGATACAACAATGTTACAATAGGGGGGATGCAGAATGCTGAAGACTAGATCACTAATCAAATTTATTATATTGGTAGCCTCTCCTCCACTCCTAGACTTATTAATTCATTGGTTTAATATGTTCTTAACTCTAGAACCATTGCCTCCTGATCTTTTTTCATGCAGGAGATTTTGATAGAGGCATACTCAAAATCTCCCATGCAAACCAGTCTTGCCTCAAACCTCTGTCTTCAGCAAAATGGAGCACCTTGTAATCCCCAATTTATTCCATATACATACGTGGAGTTTTTCCAGGATTAATCCTTTTTTAAAGCTAGAAAATTCTAAGTATTTGAACTATTTTTATAATTCTTAGGCAAAGCCATTCAGAGTCATCCTTCACCCCCCAAAACAGTAGGATTTAGCAGATGGGCAAAAGAACTGACCTGCTTCTTCTGCTTCTTTGTGATTTCGTCTTGCTCTTTGCTGCCTCCTGGATTAATCGGGGGGAACACTTCTGTATTTTCAGAGAGTCCTCTTCCTCTGCTAACTGTGCTCTTCAGGTGATTTTGGTTAACTATGAAACAAACAGGAAAACAGAGATCCAAAATTATCTTCCTTCTCTCTAGCCATGGTTAATTCTCATCAAAATCTATGAAGGAAACTGTTATAGCTGAACTGAAGATTGAATCAGTGGTCACTCTGTAAAGGAATTATAGATATATTACATTGGAAATGGAGCCCACATGACAGAATGCTCCTTTATAATTTTACAGGCAAAAATCTATACAATCTTTTCTTTGATATACTCTGCCCCACTTTTGGGGAAATGGGGGTATAAAACTCTCAGGTGGATACTACTTACAAATTATTATGTTCAATACATATTATTATGTTCCAGTTGTGGCTTGACCATTTCAGCAAGGATTAAGCCATTTCTTTGTAAAGTAGCTCTCAGATTACACAAGGCAGCTATGTTGGGCAATGTAATATCTGAAATAGTTTTATATTACTGTAGAATATCCTTTCCAACCAAACATTATGCCAGCTGGCAAAAACCAGTTTCCAATTCTTTGTATTTGTTGCAGTATTTGCTTCTGATATAAAAGAGGCTCTTTACCAGAAAGCAAGTATAATATAGCAGAGTATATCCCCATGATGATATTTATTGGTTTTTGTACTCAATTCAAAAAATTCCAGCAGAGGGAGGTATAATGATTGTGTTTATATACCATGCTAACTCTGTGTTACCTGGCTGCGCTTTACTCAATTAGCTCAATGATCTCAATTCACATAATACTATGAACCTTTATTTGTTTGCTCATTAAATAGTTCTTCTTTCTTCCAGTACATATCTAGGTCTTCTTGATTCTAGTCCAATTTCTGGACGACTACATTATGCAGACTCAATATTTACCAGACAGTAACTACAATGTACGGTAGTTGGCATTTCAGTTTGTGGTTCAATGTGTCATGTACACAAATATACAAATACAACCACCCTGCAACATCATTAATTTCTGCATTTATTCCTACATTCTGGAATACTGAATACCTTTATTTGAATGGCAGAAACACTAGTGGCATTAATGGTTCTCAACTACCCACCACCTTTAAAAAAATATATATAGCTGGTGGCTTTTAATTTGGCTCATAAATTTGCAGCATCTTCTTACCACTATATGTGATCTTTTTTCCCGGAAGAAAACCACCATAGAAATTCACATGGGACTGCTCACACCAAAATTCAGAGGTGGCAATTCCTGTATTTCCCAATAATGGAACATTAACTGATTGGTTTGGCATTTCACAGTTATGTGGCTCCTTCTTGTTCTTTTCACCTTGGTGATATTCTACCCCTCTGTTCTAAAAGAAGATAAACAAGAACACTTGAAAGACTGCATTTAAAAACAAGCTAAGAGAAAAAAAACAACTGTTCTATTCGGAAGAAAACAAAGAGTCCTCTTGCACTAGCAGTTTATAAAATCATCTAACCACCACTATGGGAAGACAAAGCTGCAATGATATACAGTAGCACACAACAATGGCTGGATGCGCTATAAATTGCTAGCCTGTCCAGATGAAAAACATTTCTGTTCTTTCCCTTTGTTCTCACAATGGTCAACCTGATGCCAACAAAAAGCTCACAACACAAAGCATTCTGTTGGTTGTGTTGCTCTGCAACTATTATTGAGAGGAATACTATCTCTAATACTGCTAAGATAATGAAGCAGTCATTAAGTAGCAGTAGCCTCAACTTCCATTAAGCAGCCATTGACACATCCTCCACAGATCTGTCTAATTCCCTTTGAAAACTCTCACGTTGGTGTCTAATATTGTGTAAAGCAAAACTTCCTTTTATCTATCTGACTTCAAATTCATTAAATGAACCTCAGCATTTCTATTTGATGCCAGCAGAGTACAATTCACCAGCTAAATAAAGCTCTCTCTATAGTAACATTCTAATAACTTCTGTATATCCTTCCCTGCAAACTGCTAAATGTAAGCAGCCTGGTAACTTGTAAAGCTATTGCACTGTATATAGTCATTCAGGTGCAAATGTCCACGAGTTCAAGCCCCAGTAAGGATTTGAACCTCACAGTATAACATCTGGCCACCCATATCTGATGATTTCTAATCTAAGTGAAACCTGTAATGTCCTGCCTCCTAGTGGCCAAAAGAGATAAAATGAACTAAAGGGATCCTCATTTGGAGTAGTTTACTTCATTTTCCAAATTACCATTTAAAGTAAAATGCTTGCCTTTATTTCAAAAGAATGCAATATCAGGAGAAAAAGAAAACAAAAGGACAAAGGAAATTTAGGGGTTATACTATTCTCATTACTTCAGTACTAGTTATAGTTTAAAGATTTTTTTTTTATTTATATGGAGAGGTGCACTGACTTACCCATATATTTGAAAGCTTCCTATTCCTGAACATTCCTACTTGGGTAGGTCTCACTTTCATAATTTACTTAAGCATATTATGTCTATGTATGAAACACACACACACACACACACACACACACACAGAGAGAGAGAGAGAGAGAGAGAGAGAGAGAGAGAGAGATATTCCTGTGGGGAATGTCTCAAGATCATTTTGGTATCCCACTATGTGTATGCCGGGGACCTAAGTATGAGGATATACATATTTTATTTTGAATGTCCCTATTTTTTCCCTAGCATGGAGATATTCCTACACACTAAAAAAGGAGACATATGGTGGCCAACATCTTATAAAAACTGAGGAGGAGGGGGAAAGCAAATAAGAGTTTGCTACCAAGCAAGTGCCAATGATAAAAATAACTATAACACAGTAGTAGTAGTAGTAGTAGTAGTAGTAGTAGTAGTAGTAAAATCATTGCAACTCCTCCTATAATACTCTTTGTGATTGCAGTAAATTGTATGTAAAACATAATATAACCTTAAAACAAAGGCAGGAGGGGGAGGCTGCAATTCATCTCCAACTTCCTTATATTCCCTCTCTCCCATCCCACTACATTATCCCACCCTCACTTGTTCTAGGATATACTTCTTTCCAGCCAGCTATTAGACAGAGGACTAAGTAGAGGAGCTTTTTAACTGTTGCCCCTGTTCTTTGAAACAGCAGCCCCCCTTTTTAAAGCCCCACTAAAGTGGGCCTTAGAAAAGCCACAACTATCTCTTTTCCAGCAGGCCTTGGGGACAGGCGGGTCACGAGGCTTTTCTGCTGAGATTTGGTGCTCTACATTTTGAATCTGTTTATTGTCCCTGGCAAGAAAATGTGACTTAACAGTTATTCAAACTTGATGGAAAAAAAAGTTTATTTTATGGAATAGCAGATGTAAGCCACTCAGGCCCAGTGACAAGAGAAACAGCGTATCAGGTCAGCAAATACATACATCATCACATGTGTCCTCTGAAGCATTCAAGCCACCCTTGCATCTCTGCCAGATGATTCAACTCTCTGTTTATTTTATTGATGGGAGCAGGACATCATTAAGCAGCTGGGAGCTGAAGAAACTATTTGATGGGGAAAGAAAGTGTAATACCTCAGAGATCTGCCAGTGTGCCTCATTCTGATTCCAGATGCTTTCTCTGGAATGCTGTGGTTGAAGATGAACACTCAGTTTCCTTACAGAAATTCTTAAAGGGATTCGATCTGCTCCTCTTGAATTATGTTCTGGGTCACCTTTCACCAGGCTGGCTCTATTTTCTGACTTTTTACGCAATGGAGGACCAAGACCTAAGAAGTAGGGAACATCACAGCCCTGAAATAAATGACCAAAGTGGCTGTATTGTGCATCAAGGAACAATTATAATTCAGCCTAATCTTTTCTGTGCTATTCATAAATGCCTCTAAGCATGTTCAGGAGGCCACTCCTAACCAGGATGGGCAGCTTTCACAAATCAGGTTTACCAAAGGACCATCCCATTCATTTGCTTTAGAAAGTTTAAACTTGATGTTTTCCTAAAAACAGCACTGCTCTAGCTATGACAGTCAGAGGTATTCAACTGAATTAGAAAATATTGATGACTTTTCTTTTTTATGTATTATGACGTGACAACACAATATGATATATAATATATATGATATATATTGGAAGATGTTCTCAGTGTATCTTAGTGAAATGAAGGAGAATAATGCAAACATTTATTTTATTTTTTTAGGGAATGCATATACTGCCTCAATCTCATTAGACTCTCAGCAATTTAGAAGTTACATGTATGTTGGTTAGTTAAATGATGCATCAGATCTGATCATCTCTGTCAGTCACTGGTAAATGGTCTATAACTCTTAATAATAAGGCCATCACCCAAGAGTTTAACAATTTGGCAGACTTATTATAGAGAACGGGATACAGTACTCCAGGATCCTGTTCAAAAACTCCTTTGAACTTTGCGGATTGGCAGGGGGGGGGGAGAGGGGATGGTTCCATGTGAGTGGCCTGCAAGTGCGCCCATGAGCACACAGCTCCATTTGCACAAGCAGAGGGCACGTGTGTCACCACTGGTGCAAATGAAGAGCGCTTGCCCATGCTTGCCCGCTGCTCACACAAGTGGGATTGCGTGCACGCACACTCGCTGCTGCTTCTGCACCCCAGTTCTAAATGGCTCACAGCCCAGTAATAGTCTGCAGCCCAGGAACTGCCTTAGAGAGTTAAAGTTAATATTCAGACCTTGAATTGTACTTGGAAACAGACTTGTAGGCAGATGGGGAAAAAGGGGTCATATATCCCCAGATTTTTGTTTTTCTATCTTCTATTTGAAGTTTGAAAACCAATGTCAGTCAGGATGCAGTAATTCCAATTTCATGAATGTAAAAACATGGCTAAACCAGGAGCAGATATAGCAGATACTCCAAACCATTCCTGGCAACAAACCTGGAGGCATCTGCAGAGCGGCAAAGAGCAAGCAAATGATTTTTACATACTTCCATCAGTCATTGTGATGCAAGCATATAATTATGGCTTTTGTGTGATGATATCATGCATGTTGCCCCTTTGATATCATCCTAAATTGTTTTGGATGTCTTTACAAAAATTAAAATCCAATCATAATTACGGTAATTCTGTTAGAAATATAAGTATTTGTACTGTACCTGAATAAGTCTGTTCTTTTAGTTGACTTTGTGAGTACAAGCAAGGAGTGTAGAAAATATGTAGATTATACTTTGGTGGAATAGCTGATAGATCCTGTAATTTCTTCCTGAGAGCAGCTGCATTTTCCTTAAACAACAAGGGGTCACTGATATATCCTGAAAAATATGCAGCATACACCTGCCGTTGGGTAAAATAATTCAACATTGATCTGTCTATTGAGTATTGTCTACAATACATCAACTGGGAATGGAAAGGTATTGAAACGGAGACCCTTTGCTCACAAAGCATAAGTTTTAACGATTTAAACAGAGGATGGGCATAGCAGACGAGGAAAGACCCAAATATTTTCTCTGTACAAATTAATATTGAGCACAATTTCTCATCCAGGAATGTAGCAATTTGGGCCCAATCTACTCTCAAGTGGGGCGCTATTTTCTTCAATTTATTTGAACCAATTCTGTAATAAAGGCCAAGGCTGATCTGAAAATATACTTTCTACCATTTTATTTTCTGTCTCATCAGATTAGGTTAGAAGTACTATCTTAATAATTTGGGCTCGTTTTCTTATAATACTAACCTGCATTCTGAAGCTTTTGTAAAACATTTGGATCCCAGCTCTGGGCGAGTTTGAGGAGGTACCTCTTGGCTGAATAGCCTGGCCTCATCGATCTGTCCATCTCACTGTCTGAATCTCTTAGGAAGTACAGATAGGGCTGCTGAGCAATTCCTTTCTTATCTTGCCACAGCTTTAATATGAAAACAAAATGTCAAAACCTTAAAATGGATGCCTGTACATAAAACTGAGCAACAATAGATTTTATTCAGTTTTTCCCCCAACATTGCCAGTTTGCTGAGTTAGAGAGGAAACAATGTGGTAGTTCAGACAGACAGATAAAGGAAAGAGCCTCATTATGGGTTGGCCTGGGGATGTCTGAGTGTTCTCAAATGCCAAAGCTTTTCATGATTTCAGTTTAATTGCTAATGTTTATTTTGTTGCACCGGTTCTTATTTTTAACCTTCTTACTGGAAAAAAAGCTAGTGTAAGAGTACACCATATATATCTCTGAGCTTGCAAGATTAATCTAGATAAGAGAACTTGGCTTGAAGACTGTGCACCTCCTTGGAGTAAATCTGGACTTTAGCTGTGTTTGAAATATGCTGGCCCAAATAGATATGAATTTACATATATTGTGTGTCTGTAAAATTAAGAGAAAGGGAATGTAATAGATCTGTTTATTTTGTTGCACTAATGCTGTGATGGCGAACCTTTTAGAGACCGAGTGCCCAAACTGCAACCCAAAACCCACTTATGCATCGTCGGGTGCCGGGTGGTGTGGCCCATTGGGTGGGTGTGGCCCATTGGGTGGGCGTGGCCCATTGGGTGGGCATGGCCCATTGGGTGGGCGTGGCTACGGTGGTAACTGCAGACTGGGTGGGACTAAAAAGTTCAATCAATCAATTCCAACTTTGCAAGATCTTTTTTTCCCCACGAGATGAAATTGACTGATTGAACCTTTTTTTTTTTGCACATGGCGGTGGAGGCCTAAAGCGAAAAGGTTTTATAAAACCCAGCTGAAGGCCTAGGACTGGGGTGACGGTGCGCTCTGAGTGCTGCCTCTGGCACCCGTGCCATAGGTTCACCACCACTGCACTAATGTTTATTTTGTTGCACTGGTTCTTATTTTTACTGGAAAAAAAAGTAAGCTGTTCAGAGTTCTTTCAGAACGGAACATCATATCAATCCTACTAAATAAATAGATAATGGAAAACTACAAAGAGCCAAGTGAGTATGAAGGTAGCTATATTGCATATTGTAGAAAGCAGTCTGGCATCAGCACATGCTAAAAAAATAGTTTTGAATTTTCAGTGTATTTTGAACTGGAAAAAAACAACTCTGAATGTTGCCTTTTGGCTAATAGCTGTGAAACTGGTCTTGAAAGGTTTGCAATTTTTAATACAACAAAGCAAGAATAGATACAGATATATACCTACTCTATCTATAAACTACTGCCCAAATATTGATTGTACTATTGCAAAGGTGATGGCTAAGTCACTGTTTGAACCATGTACCATGGTCTCACCCCAATTCTGGAACATAAACATCTTTTAGCTTGCAAGTAGTTGAGGATGGAGATGAATTTTAATGATCACAATATGCATGGAGAGAGTGCACATTTTCACTTTTTCACTTACATGGGCATAGTGTTTTTTTAAGGGACATGCCGGACTTCAAGTATAGTAGAAAAATAATCAGTGGTCAAAGGAGGATAAATAATCCATTTAACCAAAACACCTTATTCTGTACTGCATTCACCAAAATGAAGCATTCTAACTTGTTTATTTTAATCATCCTCATATTTATATAGTTGTTTAATTTTAAGGGTAATCTAGTTTTGGTACTGCAGCACTATGTGATGCTTGCAGAAATAGTTAAGCAATTATAACACACAGGAAGATACGCAAAATACTTTAGTCTTTCAAATTTATTTAATTTGAAATGAAATCTGCGCCATTATAAAACCAAGAAGAACAATTTAATGTTCCATCCAAAAAAATGCTCTTTTGCTCTCTCTCTTGAGAGAAGAGACTCCCTTAGAAATACCCTCTACTAAGATGGGCAGCCAATAAATTTAATAAATAAATAATAAATAAGTAAGTCAGGCTTCCAGGTCCATTTGGGGATTTTGTAAATTTGCCTGTAGGGGTCTCTGCACGCATATCTCACTGTCCTAATTGTCCAGCAGCAGTTGAATAAATTTCTGCTGGATTTCCAGAGAAATGTACAAATGTATGTAACAGGCAACCCCCACCTTTTGTTTTCTGTAGTGTGACTGCCTTGCAAAGCTGAGTAATCAGGTGTATTTGTGAAAGTGAATGACTGCTTTCCTTGGAGGATTGGCAGGGAATCCTCATAATGGTAAAGAGGAAATGCGAGTTGTGATAGTGGGAAACAGCCTCCCATATCTGGGACGTAAATATTCAGAAGAACACAAGATGGCAATAAAGAGTTAGAACTTTATTTTGCTCTCCTCTGCCTCTGGAGGGTATGTGGACTTTTTCAGCCCTGCTATAGTAGACTTATAGGGGAACTATTTACATTGCCTAAAGTAGCATTTATAGACAATCTTCTTTAATTTTTGAAGCAATGCTGAGAGAAGGAGAAAATATTTTTTATGACTCACAAGCATTTTATTTATTTATCAAATTTCTACACCACCCATCTCTAGTGACTAAAGTGAGTCAGCTGCTGGGTAAAATGACCTTCCTACTGATAGGCCCTCCTAATCTTTTCTTTTCTTAGGAAGTGCTTATTTCATAGGGCATTAATGAGCTTCTCCCTGCAACTTCTTAATTTATTTTTTTTTCAACTCCTGAAAGGAGCACCAGGTTTCCTTTCTGGCAGTCAACACTTCATTTCCACCCCACCCCCAATGTGCCATTTGTTGTCAGTCTGAGACAACAGAGGAGAAAGAAAATGACAGGCAATTAGAAGAGCATGGGGTTCCCTCCTACGCTTACCTATGTTGGGTTGGCACAAGACCTGGGCCAATGATGGGGCACTAACCACCAGCAATGGGCTACCATGAAGTTCATTTCCCTAACAATGGGCCTTGCGAGAACACGGGAATTCTGCTATTACTTAGAGGTACCACATACTGACATTGAGTCAAGTCTCAGACACTTAAGAATACATGGGAACAGAGGTTACATTATTGACTGTGATCATATTATATGTACTTGTGAACAAGGATCCCTCCTAACAGATAGATGTACTATGAAAAGAGATTTTTGAGTACTTTCAACTTTTCTCTGACTCTGTGGAACTCTAGAAAACATCCTGTTTCTGATCAGATGAAGTTAGAGGAAGAGACTCACAGAATGGATTGTGCTTAGTGATAACTGGGAGATGTTTGGTTCACCATCCTTTTTTCTTTCTTTATTGAGTAGAAATTGTCTTCTACAATAATTTGAATACTTAATTTTATTGTCACGTTGCTGTTAAATCTTTCCAGAACTGAAACAATTTCATTGAATCAGAAGCTGAAACAAAACAAGGTTTTCTTTAGTTTCCATTTTGTTTAAAAATCTCAAGGTACTGAGATTGGGTTACCTCATGAAATATGCTTCCTGATTCAAAGTCCCTTCTCCCAAGTTGAGGTGGGAAGGCAGCCTTTCTCTTCTCTAGTCCCCTTATCCTCCCTTTCATATGAATCAAGATTTGAAAAGCAGAGAGTTGACAAAACCTAAATAGCTCTTGGTTTCTAACTAAGCTGAATGCTACTTTGTCTCCTACTTCTAGCATGTACTGGGGCTTTGTTAAGAAAATGACTCAAGTGGATTGAGTCAAAGCAGACATGCGTAGACCTGTTTGTTTTCTTTGGTATCAGCCAATTATTTTCAGTTCTCAGGTTTCAGTTTATACACTTGCGCTCCAGGCTATTTGTATAGGCATTTCAATTCCAGTACTTTATAGTTTCAGCAGCAAATCTTCAATAAGGCCAGTAAGTATCGGTTTAATGTGGAAGGAGCTTAGCACTACTACTAGTTTATTTCAAACTTTGTCTCATTGTCATTCATGTTCATAGTGGCTAAACATTTAAAATAAAATGTAACAATAAAAAAGGAATTTAAATATTTCAAATTGTGCCATTTAAAATACTTGGTCAAAGAGAATGTTTTCAACTGAAACTAATGCAAGATGATGGCTGTGACCAGATGATTGTAGCCCTGCTCCTTTTTTGGTGCATGAATGCACATAAAAAGAAGTGAAGTTTTCCTTGTTCGGTTGTGGCTGCCATCTTGAATTCTTTGACTTTACCTTCAGGCACTCCTGGTTTTAGCTCCTTTTCCTGAAAATGGAAAGAGACCTAAACGCAATTCCCAGTGGATGTCACTTATAGGAATGACACAGGATGGCAGCCTATGGAGAGTGCTTATTATGGATGTTGCCTTTGGGGATGAGGCTTTTAACACTAAATCTCACTGATTTATGGAGCTGAACACATTTACCTGATATATGTAATATTCCCATGTTTTCCTAACATCTGCTTCCTCGTTTTTTTTAATGGAAAAATTGTTAAGGAGAAAAGGCCAGAATAATTGGGTAGTGCTACTTCAGCTCTCCATTTGGAATTAGCATCTGTTTACTGCTGCCTCCATAGGCGACTTAGCCTAGTCTGCCTCCCACTCCCAAATTCCTTGCAATCCTCTAAAGATAACCTTTGAGTCAGTCTTTCTGAAGTAGATTTCAGGCAGCAACTCATTATTTAAGACAGATCTCTGCTATATCCAGTCCAAGATTTCCCCCCCCCCTCCCTGACTGAGGTAGATCAGTAGCTGACAGGTTGCTTTACATCGGTTACAACTTTTAGCATAAGCTATAAATAGGCCTTTGGGGGAGGGAATGCTTTAGGGTGATTTTTTTTATATAAAAAATCTAGTTATAATACAGCATCAAACCAAACTCTCCATACCTTACAGTATATACTACAAATGGGAAGGTAAATTACATATTTTATAAATTAACCAATAAAACAAAATTGTTTTCCATGTCTGTAATTAATTTAGAGAAGTAGTAATTTTCTACACCCTACATCCACATCTTGGAAGACTCAAGAATAACTTGAAAGGGAAGGTCTACAAAGGCAGCCTCCTAAGACTATTTCCTGGTAAGAATGCAACCCTGTGCCTGATTTCAGTCTATGCTCTATCTTAATTTTCCGCCTCCTCTTATGGCAGCATGCATTGAAAGCGCCTGGAGTGCCCCTGCTGGACTCTAATTGTTGGTGGCAATCGGCACAGGATTTCATCTGTTTCATCACAGCAGTCCTCTTTTTCTGCTCCTTTAATCTTTGACGGATGCAATGCTTGGATACACTGATGGGGCTCATACCACAGGCAGTGATTTTAGAGGCGTCTTTTGTCCACAGTCGAGGCATGGTGTCTGCACTGGGTTGGACAGTATTTCTGAATGGATCTCTTCCCAGAGTATTCAACAGAGAACTGACTGGAAGGGAAATGTATTCAGATATGCCAAATGCTTCTGGCAACCGCTAACTGAAGCATCTGGGGGCATTCCTGAACTGTTTGAGATCTCATATAAAGGAGCTGTTGGAGGGCATTTGTTTCAAACTCCCAAATGTATAAACAGCAGCCTGAGCTGGATTGTCTTCTCACGGAAACCCGAGACTCATAATTCTAAGCAGAAGAACAAGGGGTTTCACAAAGTACTTTCCCAAAAGATACTCCTCAAAACATTCGTGGGGAAGTAAGCCATGAAGCAATAGATAGGTTTATACAGCTTCCTCTTTCCAATGAAAGTGATTCTTGCTTAATGAGATGTGAAATTGACATTTGCTGCTCCTGTTGCTATTATTAGTGTTAATTTGATATACATAACATTTTTCTGTCCAAAGCTACCATTACTAATGTAAAATTTGATAAAAGAAGTAAATATCATCATAAATTACATTTTTTCTCTTAAGCGGGGAGCTGAGCTTCTTCACAAGAAATGCATTCCCTAATAGCTCTCCCAGGTGCCTAACTAAGGGGCTTCTCTAAGAGAGCTTCTCCTGACGACTTTAATGTTTCATATTGAGACATTAGACATTAAGTAACCTATTGAGGTGGTCAATCCCCCGAAAGACAGGCAACAAGCCTTGAAAAGTTCAAACCGCCCCCTTAAACTATACTAAAAAGCAACTGGCACCCTTGGGCATAATAGAATTCCAGTATTGTGCAGTGGTAGCAAATGGGATGTTCACTTTGCAACAGTTAAAATCTCCAGACATCTCCAGTATGGCCCAATAATACTGTAACATTCAGTCTGGTCTATTATTACACTATGTGTTGTCAGCTAAGGGTCAGTTGCAGCTGGAACATTGGACAGAATTGTTTGTATGTACTCTTTCTACCTCTGCCATCCTGACTACAAAGATTGCAAGAGGTTTTGAATTAAGCAAATATTTTATTATAGTCCAAGAAAAAATCGGGGTAGGTTTGGACCAGCTGCAAGTTCCATATCTTCTAGTTTTTCTTTGATGACCTTTGGCTTTCTCAAATCACAAGATGTCCTACACTAAAAAAAAAGATGGGGAGGGAGTCAAAAAAGCACTCCCAAATCCTGAACCTGCTGCTTCAGGTCAACTGCACAGAAAGGCTGAACCTTAAATGCGGAGACAACAGTTTTCTACTGACCATAATACCTTAATCTTAACCGGGTTTAATTTCAACCTGCTCACTCTCATCATGTGAAACTCCATACCTTACTTCGCACTAGTCAATAGAATTTATTACTTGCTTGGAATTAGCTGGCAAATCATGGTAAAGTCATAGCCATGGATTGCAAGTTGCTGTTTGACATTGATGGACGTTCTATTTGACCTGTCGAATGACCTCCCTTCCATTGTTCTTTAGACTCCAGTGATGAGGTGGTTTAGGTATCTTTTAAATATTCTTCTTCCCTGTCTTTACCTTTCCCTAGTATTTGGGATTTCATGAATATCTGTCCATCTGTCCAATTTCTCTATCATGTCAGTCCACAAGGACTGTACATAATTTAGTGATATTAAAATAGCAGTGAAATAAAATTATGCAGTAAAGCTTCAATAGCAAAAATATATATATTAATGTCCAATAAGAGAATACTGTGTGCAGAGCTCTGTATAGATGACTAGGATTCCACAATCAGTTCCCAAAGATCTTCTGGAAAAGCTAAGTGTTAAAATTTCTGGAAAGCCTTGAACATGTGGCCCATTTGTTTTAAGAGCAAACTGTTCCAGAGATAGGCATCTCTGATTTTCATTCTGTTTTTCTCTTCTGCATTTTTAATGACTGTAAACTGCTTTGGGATTTTTAAAATGACAAGTGGTATAGAAATATTTTTAAATAAATGGTATCAGCCTAACTAAACATGTGTACATCTGAAATATATGAACAATACCTGTTTGCTTCCATATACTAAGATAGCCCGGGCCAAATCTTGGAGTGTGTGAAGATCTACACATAATGTCTGGCTTTTGTGCTGACGTCCTTGCTGCAACTTCCATTTCCATGGTTTGGCTACATCTTCCGAATAGAGAAAGAGTGTGCCTCTTCTTGTGCAATACGTTTTTGGGAGGTACAGCCCCCAGTACTCCTTCATGATCTGCCTGTGATCCAGTAGTCTGTTGACACTGCAAAGGCCTTCAGAAGACATGCGGTTCAGGTCATCCTAATTTGAATAAAAGGAGGAGGAGCAGATGCAATAACAGAATGGATTTTAGAAACAAAAATTCAGTACAATTTTCTGCAGGATCCAATCTGGGTCGGTCACCGGGACCAGAGGTTTTTTCTTCCGAGCTTTTGGACTTGTGCTGGAGCCCATCCTCAGGGAACTTCTCTCTAGCAGGGTGTGTGCTGTTCTGTGTGTGGTATTTATATGGTGCCTATTGTATGTGTATTGATGGCTGGCTTTTAAGTCCTTGGCTGCCCAGCCCTTGCCCTCTAACTACTTGAAGTATTCAACTTATGTGGCTGGCAAGGGAAGAGGGATGTGGCAAACTCCTGGACAGGGAAGCTGGGCCAAGTGATCCATGCATTGAAAACTGTTGTGTGGCAGTTTCATGAGGATTCTGACCACCCACCCTCCCATAGTTTGCTACTGACTGGACAGGTACTTTGTCAGAAATGGTATAGCATCTCCTGCTTGAGCAGGGGGGTTGGACTAGATGACCTACAAGGTACCTTCCAGCTCTGTTATTCTGTAAACTTTGCAGCTATTAAGATTGTTGAACGAGCAGGCACAAAAACAACCATGGAAGTGATTGAAGCCTGGGAAACAGGCCCCTTGTCAGTCAAACAGGAGTGCTGATTTACCACCAACATACCACACTGCCAATCAGCATCTAAAAAGCCACATACAAATACCACCATATAAATACCACACACAAAACAGCACACACTCTGATTGAGAGAAGTTCCATGAGAATGGGGGCTCTAGCACTAGTCCAAAAGCTCAGAAGACTAAACCTCTGGTCCCAGTGACCGACCCGGATTGGATCCTGTAACATTATCCTGGGACCCATCTATTCACCTTCATTCATAATACAATTTTCTATTTGCACATATTGTACAGGGCAGTCCTATTGTTGACAGCCAGTTTGGTACATAAGGCTACAAACTGGGGGAGTATGAGTTCCAGCCCTTCGTTAGGACAAAGCAGTCAACTTGGGTCAGTCAACTTCTCTCAGCCCTAGGAAGGAGGCAATGGCAAATCATTGCTGAAATCTAGCCAAGAAAACTGCAGGGATTTGCCCTGACAGTGATCCGGAGTCCTCAAAGGCATGTGTATGAGTGGGTGGGTGTATATGCGTGCACACCCACACACGCATACACAGAGAATTGTTAACAACTGCCATTTGAAGAGGATGTATCAATCACATTAATAAAATGTGAGGTGGCACAGCAGACGTTTTCATGAATTTTCCAGTTATGCCACCAGCATATTTGACAAAACTTCTTTCTGTTCTTATTTTGAAACATTTCATTTTATATGAATCTCCTCCCTCCTCCCAAATGAGCAGAGTAGATAGACAAGGGGGTGGGGGGCACGGGGAACTCTTCAGTTAAAGCAATGTGATAAAAAGAGTAGACAATCAAGCGTATTCCCAGAAGCAGAGATTGGCTACCTAATATCCTCCAGAAGTTTTTGCTTCTAGCTAGGGTGAAAGATTGCCATAAACCAAACATCTGGATGATATCAAACCACCAATCCCTGCTTTAGTTTCAGATTATTCACTACAGAAATAATCTAATCAGATGGGTAATGAAGGGATATGAAGCTTACATACGTACTATATTGGAATGGTTACCATCTAGTGAAGCTTTGAAATATTTTTCTGGATTTTGGAAGGAATATTGAGTTTGGAGAGTATAGGAGGTTTTTAATTTGGATTTTAAGGTTTTTTTTTATGTTTTAGTATTGCTTGTGAGCCATCTAGGGTTACATTGCACCTGGATACATCCAATTTTATTATAACCACTGAATTGCATAGTGGGAAGGGTCTAATTCAAGTGGGTGCAATACACACCAAGCCTTGAAATAGGATCTTGGAAGCTATTCCCCACAAAGTAATAAGTGGGTTCAAATCAGAAACTGAATTTTATTCCATTGTATTTAAATAAAGATTGCTCTCTGGTCCAGTATTGTATCATTTTCATTTCTGATCACTTTAAAATTTACAATTTGGGAAGAGTCCCTGGAATTCTCTGGAATTTTTATTTATTTACTATTTAAATAATAAAAAAGCTGAAGAGAGTTCTGGTGTCTCAGTTTGAGCACCTCTGGATCACTGATGCAGAACTCCAGCAGCTTCTCAAGAGCACTGCATGGGTTGCACGCATCAAACCAATGAGAAAAGGGGGGTCATCATGTGATACTTGGGTGGCCCAGAAGCTGCTGGCAGCTAGCAAAGGCCATTCCTGCAATTCCCACATGATGACAGAGTCATAAGATTACAACATTAGAAAGAGGGATTACATTTCAGCATCCACAAAGGGATCATCATAGCTTCCAGTAGTAATTTATCCAGACTTAGCTGTGGCTCATGACTTCCGCTGTGGACTATGGAGGAAGTCCTGAGGCATAACATTATGAGGCATTGCTATTCAAGTGGCGGCTTCTGAAGACCTTTCCAAATAATGTATCTGTTAGAAACATGCCTTTGGTATATCATCTGATTGATGTTTTGACCCCGCGTGCAAGATGCGATACTTTCTCACTGCCTAAAAGTGGGACTGTGGAAAGCTATTGGGAGAGGCACTGCAAAAGAGTTCCTGAAGAATTATATCTTCTTGAAAACTTGGTGCAGCTGCTTCAAGGGTCCCCCCACTTTTTCTGTGTTTGTGTGTGCACGTATACATGGCCTTCTGCTATAATTGTAGCCAAAGCAAAGCAGTCGTGCTGAACCTTTGGAAGGAAGCATTGCTTTGAGGATTCGAGCAATGGATTTGGAGAGGTGTGCTTCATGATATTCTCCGCCCAATGGTTTTTTACAGCCATAGTAAATATGAGTCTACTCCTAAAGATATACACTGTTATTGTAAGCATGGTGTAAAAATGCAGATCTGAACCACAGCTTTTCAGTCTTGACTTCTTTAATGGAGAATCAAAGAAAGCCTTCTAACATATTCAGCAGAATTCTTAACTTTTCTTCTGTCTGGAAGGAACAGAAATGGATTGGATAAATTCCTTCTAGAACCTACTTAATTTGCTCAGAGTCGTTGGATTAATTGTAATCTACACTCCTCCTTCGCAGACTTTCTTAGTTCCTGGTCCTGTTTTGATCCTCGCTGTGATGTAATAGGTTCTTTCATTTCCCATCTGATCCTGCCTGCATGAACCGGCTCCTGGATATTGTTTATGGCCCAGCGTGACACCATCTCTACACATCACTGATCTCTGGAATGGGGGCTTGTACTGTGTCAACTCTCCAGGATATCAGAGATATGCATGGACAATGACGCTTAGGAGGTTTACAGATTTACTTCAGCCACTTGTTCAGTAGATTTATACTGGGCTTCCTCCACTTCCTACATGAATGATTGTCTGAGTAAAAGAGTTGTGCAATCAAGGGCTTTGAAAGTCAGAAGACAATAAGCCAGGGCATTAATAAAGATGCAAGATTTCACCCAAGCTGTGGTCCATGGGATAGGCTTGATTCTAAAGTTTCCTTCTACTTTTTTCTTTAAAAAAAAAAGAATTTGAAAAATGAAACACATAACAATAAAGTTATTTTACCACCATAAGAACATGAAAGAAAAACAATAAATAAAACTGCTTACTTAGAGGTAGCTTGATCTATTATAGCATTTGCCATTAAGGAAAATAAGTAGAAAATGAAACTATCAACATTGTAATAAGCAAAGGAAAGGCTTATTATATGGACTTAGAACAAACTTAAATTGCTCAGAAATGTAATATTCATAGCACCTAATTAAGAAAAATATTATTAGCTAAACTGTGCAACTTCTCTGTTTCAATCGTGTATCATAATATATAGGAAAACTGCAAAATAGCCACACTTTTCTGAGAATAAGGCCCACTAGATATAATGAGATTTGTTTTTAAATAAATATCCATTGGATTTGGCAGACAATTATTTGTTTCCATCATCGTAGATACTATAACTTCAAAATAACACTGGGACCAATTAAATGTATTTTTATTATTAGCTGAATGATTGAAAGATGGGTAATATATAATTCTAAGTATGTATTTTGATTATTAGTCATTATTTCTCTTCCAGAGTTCTTCAGTGTTGCTGAACAACACTATAATTAAGTAAAACAGAATAAAATTTGGAAAATGATATATAAACATTATATAATACTATTGAATGTCATATTTAACTATTTAACTATCTACAGGATCAAAATCATCCTATGTTGTCTGCTTACAAAAGTTCTTTTAGGTATATTGTTACTTGAAAGCTTCCTGTTAACAAATTCTGCCCATTTATTCATTTCCTGATCAAAAGAGCTGATCTTTTTACATTATTTCTCTTTACCCAGGTTTACCAAATAGATATTTCATTAAAATAAAGAGAAAAGGGAAGAATATGGGCAGAGATCTGATACTTCCAAAAAACAAGCATAACAAAAATAAAACAGGGAATTTTGAAATATAAAGAATGGTTATCTACAAATACATTGCTTTTCATATTACTTTTGCACTTTGCATTTTTAGGCCAAAATATTTTCATAGATAAGACCTGACAAAACTGGGGATGATAACATCAACAACAAAATAAAAAAAAATCTAGGATGCAATTATTTCATATTGGCTCTGTACGGATTTCCCTTCTAGAGCCAAATAGGCTAGTAAGAAAACAGAACATTCTAAAAATCTATTTTCTGCAGAACTGCTAAAGCATTGCAACTCTTTTGATTCTTTAGCAAGGTCTTTGATCCTATTGTAAACCCCCCCCCCCAATATTCATTTATTTTATTGAATGTGGAAGACTGGGCAATAGTGAGGAAACTACCTAACTTAATAGGAGTAGAATACAAAATAACTAAGTTGGAAGGGACTTTGGAGGTCTTCTAGTCCAATCCCTCTACCATTCTGGACAAATGGCTTTCTAATTTCTTCTTAAACATTTCTAGGGCTGGAGCACTCACAGCTTCTGGAGGCAAGCTGTTTTACTGATTGTTTTCTGACAAGAAATTTCTTCTTAATTCTAGGTTAGATCTCTCTTTGGCAAACTTCTATACGTTACACTCAGATATTATTACAGTTGTTACTACAATGAGCTAAATTATTATATTAGCTATCATCTTATCATCTCATTGATCTACCAAATCTTCAGAATCAACGTGGTCTCTCCATAGTTCTGATACAACACCATACTTTGCACTGTTGCCCCAATTGGTGCAAAAGAGGCATCTTAAAACCCTTAATTGCCAAGAAAACAAAACTCTCTAGCCAAGACTTAAACTGAGCACCACCAAAGTCCCTCATTCTGGAATCACTGCAGTTCTGGCATGCAGAAGCTACTGTTAGTTTTAAAACAGAAGAGGATAATTTCACAAGATCCCCAGTGCTGAAATACTATCCAGGCAAAAGAAAAAGGCATCCCATCTCTTTGTCAAAACAAAACCAAGAAAACATAGTCTTTCTTTCATTTTGGAATTATTTTCAAAAGTCAAGAATGTTATTCTTGTTTAATATTTATCCTAAGACTCTGCACAAGATGATCAGAGACTCAACACACTCACTGTTATATGGGGAAGCATAAGCTGATTCGTATTAGCAACTCATTTTTTGTATTAAAAGCTCAACTCACCTGGGGATCAAAATGCACTTCCAGCTTCTCCTGTTTCTTTTTGATCACCTGCCCAGTGCCACGACTTAAGAGAGACAGACTGGACATTTTTAAGATGAATGCAGTGCCGCTTCAGGAGTCTTCCTGTAGCTTCTAAAAGCAGAGTTATATTTCATTATAGAACATTCTCATCTTACTTAACAATGTTATTAAGTATAGCTCAATTTCATAACAGCAACATTAATCCATAAAGTAGTTTTGTATTAAACTAGAACTAGAAAAGTAGAGCAGCCTATTGGAAAGCGTAATCTGATATTATTATCTCCCCTTGAGGTTACTTTTCTAGTATTCTTCCTGGGTTTTTTAATTATTATTATTATTCTGTTCTGGTTGGTCCCAGGATTCATGAAAAGACTGCCATCCTTTTCATTGTGCTCTGAGGTTGTTTTCATGTTGCCATGGCAGCAAAGGAAATTGTTTAAACTACAGCGGAGGGAATGTTGGGAAGAAAGAAAGAAAATGAAAGATTTTTGAAAGGATCAGGATCAAATTTCAAGATTATGTTGCCCTGCAAATTCCTCCCTCCAATCAAAAAGTAACATTATCCTCCAACTCTTACAACTCCATTGCCTCTCCTCTTCTTCATTATTACTATTGAAGCATTTTAAACAATCTGCAGCCAGTGAATGCCTCCCTTTGTGTTGCTCCAGAATTAACTCTGCTCTTCTGTTTCCACAGTATTATGTTTGTTGGGCAGCTAAGCTAATTCATTTCCCATTTAGCTGCAGGGAAAAAATGATATTTTCATGTGTATTGTTGAAAAACAGCAGAGCTTCTGGAAAACTAGGGTTCCCACTGGTGGGAATTCTCGACTACCTCAGAGCAAGAACCCTTGAGTTTTCTTGAGCAGATAAATGCTTATCACCCTTCTGAATCTGCCAGGAGTTATCTAGGTTGATTTATTTATTAATTTGGATGTTGTCAAATCCAGACTGAATACCTTGCAAGCTATTGCCAAAGGGTCTCAAACTGGACAGGATTCTTGAAAGCCAGTTTAAAGCAACGTTGTCATGAGCAGAAGATAGGAATAACTTAAGAGGCAGTGTGGCTACGCCCATTGTCTACAGTATAAAGCCATATCCACGGCCATGATGATAGTGCTGTAGCTATAGTTAGCATATAGCTAATAAAGAGGGGGAGAAATCCAAGGTGAAAGTGGAAAAGGTGGAAAAAGCTCTGGAGGTAACTACAATTATTAGATACTTCAAGAAAGAGATGATCAATTTAAGTGCTGCTTGCTTTTATGTCTGCTTTTTTAAAAATGAAGATGTTGTTCAAATGAGTTCTTAAAGTTGTCTGAATTTACTTGTGTGATGCTTTAACAGAGGACTGACCCCTAAGCAGTTTATGATGACCCATGTATGATGACCCTTGTAGCAACTGAGACCTAGCCCCTTAACCAACAGATCATGCAATGAATATGTCTAAGATTCAGGAGAAATCTGCTCATGGTCATGGAGAATTCTGGAAGTTGAAATCCATAAATCTTAAAAGTTCCTGAGGTTGAGAAACGTGATGCTAGATTAGAGGATGTTGAAGAAGGTGGATTGTAATGGAAACAAAACAGGTAGCTGCCATTGAAATTAACAATCACCCATTTATACTGTTAGAACAACTGTACAATACACACATTGTTCAGCTGTTGTTTTGGCCTGCTGTGATTCTGTTCCCCTTTTTATAAGCATTAGTGCTGATAGTCTCTGGGCTGGAACATGTCCTCCAAATCTAGCTTTCATAGCTAATTGTCAGAAGAACAAATATGATTCTTGCTCTGGGGGTAGAAAAATGCTCTGCTTTTCCTTATACACGTGTCTTCTCTGCCAAAGCCCATGTAGCCTGTCAAGCACATTTGAATGTTAATCTTCTAAAACTTGTCCCCTGCTGCCATATATAAAGTAATACAGCGGGCTACTTTCAGCTGGAATTTGTAGTGCCTTTCATGCAATAAAGTAAAGCAGCACTAGAAACTGTACAAAACGAACAAGCCCTCAAAAAGGTGATCTGGTCTCCAAAGCAGGCAGCTTTTTTAAGCTGAGCATTTGAAAATAACTAGAGCTCCAAAATGGGATGTATAGAAGTATTTGCATTCCTGTAAGTAGAGACTGAATTTGGGCGTGGATCAGTAAATCTGACTTGACCCTGAGATAGTTCTGTGTAACCTATCCCATCTCCCATGTTCACATTTTACTAGATCATATACTATATATGGTGAAAGTATAGGATTACGTATCCTAGTTTAGAGAGAGTACTGTACTTTTATATTGTACTTTGTGAATCATTTTGAAAGCCAAAATGTCTTATAAATGTCTTTAATAAACAAATGTAACATTTCTGGTGTTAAAGGATAAATATCATTTGTCTGTTGCAACCCTTAAGCAATAGTTACAGCTACATTTTATTGGCATGTTTGGAAAAAGTGACATTTTCAGCTTCAGGAACACCTAAATAAATAGAAGTGATCACTAAATCCTATTAAGATTTTTTTAAAAAATCCCACTTTTAGTCTTTCTACTTCTTAACTGATGAACAATTTTACCTACTCATTTTAAAACCTTCCTTATCTTTAAAATTTCTGCAAGGAACAAGGAATTTAAAATTCCTATTTTGTCAATGGGAAATTATCTTGAAATATGTAATGTTTCAATAAACTGCAACTTACTCAATGAAAAGATATTTCAGACATATTGGACTCTACTGTATTTCTTTAGAAAATAAAATTGTAAATTACTGTGTTATGTGAGATGCAATCAAAATAGCGTGTCATCAAAACATAGATTTATGATGTTCTAAAATGAGTGTGTTCTGGGAACATGTAATTACACATATTAATTAAATTTCAGGAATGCTTTAATATTTTTGCACCTTTGTATTCTTTGGATGTACACATCTATTACAGAGAAACAGGGCTGGATAATGTCTTTTTCTTTGTTAAGAGACTAGTCCTTCAACATTGGAGAAATAAATTTACAGCTCCAAATACCTGATGCTGCTTACCATTAATGGAGTTGCTTACAGATGTAGATTGCACACTTACAATGTGCATTTACAATGAAAAAAGTAAATTTTATTAAAGTTAGGCAATCTGATAGTTGCATGGATTGCTTTTAAATACAGTGTTTTTTATTCATAATTTGTGAAATTCATTTTTCTGGCAATCTTTAAAAGAGTCTGCTATGTCAGTGATAAGGTGGTTGAAAACTCATCAAGGCACCATCCTACTGATAACGGTTGATAACAATGGTTATCTGCAAGGCTATTTATTTATTTATAAGGGTATAGTTTGTAGAGCTGCCCATCTCAAACCAGTGACTCTGGGCAGTGAACAATCATAAACATAATTAAAAGCTAGAACATAATACAAAAAAAAAATAAATTAAATACACATAGCAAGCAAGAGATAATATAATCTGCCAGTGTCAACATAACCAGGAAACAGGGCCATTTGGACCCTTGGCCCAGGCAGGTGGCAATATCTTCAAGGCCTTCCAAAAGACCAGCAGGGTTGGGGTCATCCTAATCTTTGGAGGGAGAATGTCCAGAGGTCAGGGGCTACTCCAGCAGAAAAGCCATGTCTTCTGGCTCTCACCTGCCAAAATTCCTTGGCAGACAGAACCCATAGTTACCAGATTGGACAGGTAGAAGCAACTGGATGAAATAACCAGACCCAAGCCATGAAGAGCTTTAAAGATGACAACCCCTTGAGTTGCACCTAGAAACATACTGGCAATCAATGCAATGAAGAAATGATGTTACATGTGCCAAATAAACAACATTATAACTTGTGCACTGCATTCTGTCAGCTGAAGTTGATGCTCCTCAAGGGCAGCCCTATGTAGAGTGTGTTGCAGTAGTCCAAACAGGAAGTTACAAGGGCATGAGTAACAATGTGTGGAGCGTCCTGCTTCAAGAAGGGGCGCAACTGATGCACAACCTGAAGGTATGCAAAGACCCTCTTAGCTATGGCTACTATCTGCTTTTTTTTGTTTTACTGATCTTGGTGTGAAGTACTCTGGTACTTATAAGGCCAATGACTGTATAAATCATTTTCATACATGGCTAAATCATTTATTAAAGTAATCATATAAGCCATACTGTTATATTAGCTAACATAATACTGAGTGTTATATTAGCATTATAAGTATATATATTTATGTATAAATATATATTTATGTGAGGTGGAGTAAGAAATATGTGGGTATATTATCCATTAAATAACTTGAGAAGATATATAAAGCTTTCAAAACATTCTCTGCTAGACTTCATAAATTTCTGAAAATGGGAATATACCTAGACCTAGCACAAATGATTATTCTTACTCACCTTGAATATTTTTGTGGTCACAATTTTATTTGTTTTTTTAAGCAAGTTTAATAGTATAATCCTAAACATATCTATGAGAACAAAAGGTTGTTCATTAGTAAGACACAATAGGCTGCCAGGAGTGAAGGTTGCAGAGATGAATTGAATTTTCAGCAGACAACCCCACCCAGTAGGGCCAACTAAGAGATGCTGGGTGCTGGAGATGATCAACATGTGGAGGTATGCTCTAGGCCTGGGCAAGGGTCTCAAGTTCATGGCCTACAGGCTAAACGTGGTTCTGGGAAAGGTAAATAGATCAGGATGGAGTCGTGCTTATCTTCCTAAAGACTTAACAGGACTGTAGCTGCACAACAGAAGTAGGCCCTAGTTCTGTGGCAGCTTCAAGCAAGGCTAGCAGCACAGCCATTATTCATCCTACCCTGCCCAAGGTTCTACAAGTCTACAGCTACGACAAAGAGGAACCCATGTGTGAGGATGGAGACCAACTTTCAGCCTCAGTCCTACGTTAGTTCTCCTAGGACACTTCAGGTGGAGAGGAAACCTTCCATTGGGGGTGAGGAACAATGAAGAGTATTTCTGAACTCAATGCAGCATTGATAAACTTGGCAGAGATTCTAGCAGGGCCAAGATAGAAACTACCCATCACACCAAGCTCCAGCATGCATTGTAAAATCATTACTGGAATCCTTCTAGGCTCCACTTTGGCAGAACTGCAGCAGATCTGAGAAAGTGTCGCAGAATTCTAGAATGTAGTGGTTTATTTTAAGTCCAAAAAGGAAACCAGGTTCCATCGTGGGCATCCCTAGAAAACCCCTCTTTCTGACCATCTGAATTTTTCCAGCCAGATTCGATAGCCCCAATTTGCCCAAATCTGTGCGAGGTTTCAAAAGGTAGAAGCAACAGGGCAGCAGTGCAACAAACCACATGTTGAAAAGAACTACTACTGCAACGGAGACTAGACCAGGGGTAGGCAACCTCGGCTCTTTTATGACTCATGGACTTCAACTCCCAGAATTCCTGAGTCAGCGTAGCTGACTCAGGAATTCTGGGAG